CCTACCCTCCTTCCCTCCTCAGTACCTAATTTGAAGTGATATCCTTTTACTCTCAGTTTGTTCATATAAGCATATACGTGCATAAGACAATCAGTGAACTTACTCTACTTTCCACGTGCTTTTTCCTTCTCCCTTCATTTTTTTGTTAGCTGTATTGCATATTTTCAGAGCATATAATGTTAAATGCTACTCTGTCACATTTATCTATACTATTTAGTCTTAGTTCTACAGTTAAATATATTTAAATGTACATCATCAGATTGTATGCCAAATGCTTCTATGATTCCATGTGTGTATGTTGGGGTGGAGAAGGGGCTTATTCTCTAGTAGATTCCCTGGGAAAGGTTTTTGGGAACAATATTTCCTGAGTCTTTTCAAGCTCTTTGCTGTTTTTCTTTGGCCTTTATATTTAAAGGCCAGTTTGGATGGATATAAAATCAATTTTTCCTCAGAAGGATAAGGTTGTCTTTCACACATGCTTACCTCTTACTGCTCTGGCTTCAGCTCTGGGTTTTTGTTACGTGTATTAGTTTTCTATTGCTGCTGTAACAGATTACCGTCAATTTAGCGGCTTAAAACAATAAGAAGTTTATTCTTGTACAGCCCTGGAGGTCACTAGTCTAAAATCAAGGGATGGAAGGGCTACATTCCTTCTTGAGGTTTTGGGGGAAAATTCCTTGCCTTTTCCAGATTCTAGAGTCTGCCCACATTCCTTGGCTTGTAGCACATGGCTACAACCGCTGTTTCTGTCATCCCATCTTTTACTGACTTTGACCTTCTTGCCTCAACTCTTATAATGATGTTTGTGATTATATTGGCTCACCCAGATAATCCAGAATGATCTCTCCTCTCAAAATCCTTAACTTAATCAAATCTGCAAAGTTCATTTTGCCGTGTAAGGTAACATATTCACAGGTTCCTGGGATTAGGACATGGACATCTTTGGAGGTTGTTATTCAGTCTATCATATTTTGTTTTTTCCTTGGAGATTTCCCTTACTTCCTATAAACCAACTATGCAGTGAAAAATATGCCTTATGCAGGATTGAGTTATTTTGTTGTGGGAGGTCTTTCAGAGTATCTAGGCTTCCGTACTGCCAAAAGCACAAGTCTCCCTAAGAAATTTCTAAGGGATATTCATAGGCTCCACTCCAAACCTTTAGAATTAGCATCTCTAGGGTTAGGTTTATAAATCTTTATTTTAAAAACTACGCCCCTGGTGATTCTTATAATAGACCAGAATTGATAGTTTCTACTTCATAACTTGTTCATCTCTAGTAAATGGGGATGGGTGAGGGGAAGCCAGTGGGCTCTGGCTCCTGGCTCAGTACTTGGTAACATAGGCCTTCTCCCTTTCCCTACACAGCCCCTGGGGCCACATCCCATCCATCAGTACCTTAAGTTAGCTTTCCTCTGTGACCTTACAAGTGAAGAAGCTTGACACTCTAGAATTAGAGCAGTGAAAAACCAGGAATAATTTTGCCTATCTAAATCCTAGTTGTCATTTAAGGGTCATCATAAGAAAGCATCTTTTGGATGAAACCTTTCCTGATCCATCTCTGCCAAGCATTAAGTATGATGTCTCCTCTCTATGACTCTTTCTAACTCTTGGAATCTTATATAGTATTTTCTCAACTAGATGCTCTTCAAGGGTGGGGGCTAAGACCAGTTCATCATCATGATAATCCCATAGCCCTTAGCCCATCACGTCAATAGAAGGTGATTGAGTGAAACACAGAGGTCAGTTGCTTGAGAAGGTTTTATTAGGTTAGATGGAGCAATAGACATGGCAGAGATAAAAGTAGTCCAGAAACGCCCCCACAAGCTGAGGAGAATTTAGCACAATGGGATGACTTGTTCCAATGTCTTCGTGCTTCTGAGGGGGTCTGCACAGCAAAGCAGGTAAAAGCAGAATTTAAGATAGAAAGTACCTTGTAGAAATGATCTCATTTGAGAAAGACCTAAAAGGGAAGCACCATGATTAAGAGCTGATGTCCAGGGATGTACCAACTGGACTGGCCAGGGCAGGACAAGTCAACCTCTCTCCAGCTGTCTTCCTTTGGTATTGGGCATTGGTGTCAGAGGGAGTCATGGCTTGCTGCTTCTGAAGTAGGAATACAGCTTTGTAGCTGCGTTGCCTTGCTTGCCTTCTGGCTGGGCTGCACCCTGGCCCTGTGCTGAAGGAACGCCGGTGTGCAGGCTTCCCTGGTCCTGCCTTTGGATCACTACCTCCCTTGTGTGGTCATCAACCCACTCCTGGCCAACCACTGCGGGCTCCATGTCTCCCTGCCCTCCTGTCACACTGCACCTTGGGTGAGTGCTGCTCCGTTCCTGTCTTCCTGGCTCAGTGCTTGCTCCAGTCTGGGCCTGTCCTCCCAGCACTGTCTCTCCTGCCTCATAGGTACTCACCTGTGTCCATCTTTCACCACCGTCTGACTGTGTCTGAGTCTGTCCCTGTTCTCTAGCCCCTACATGG